ATTTGCAAAACAGCAAACAAATTAGGCTAACTAGGAGGTACTGCCAAATGAAAAGAAATGAGAGTATAATTATAGAGTCAATGCAAATGGTACTTAACATCCAGATAAAAGTCATATAAAAACATTCTGTTATTTGGGTATTTTTAACTAGTCTTTTTATAAAAGCAGTTAATGATAGATCATATACAGTAACCACAGCAGCAGATCATAAACTAGTAAATGCCAAATTCCAATGAAAAATGTAGGTACCTGGTATCATCAGAAAGAACCCCAAGGCCGGGAGATCCAAGATCTAGGCTCTGTTCTGGGATGAACAAGTGGAATTTGCCTTTAGTCACAGACTAAATGTTATGCTTACTAAGACCAAAGTCTGAAGCACAGACTGCTAGCGGTGAAAGGACTTTTGAGATCAGTCAGCCGAGGCCCTCATCAAGGTCCAGGTAACTGAGGCTCAGAGAGGGAAAGTGACTAAAGCCACCGTCACACAGGCCGTTTGTGAGGAGCACCTCCCAACGCACAGCCTCAGGCTCCTGGTCCCTGCCCCACCTCTTACCAGTGACTCCTCACTTACAGAGTGAGAACAATCACCCATGCCTGCTTCTTCCTCGCTGGCATGCTGGGATGATGGCTCGAACTAACTGGTGTGAGTGAGTATGCACTTGCCTGTATTCATGTGAATTCGACGAATTCGGGGTGCGGTGTGGGGGGCGGATGCAGTATCATGCAAAACTGGCCATCGGCATAAACCCTCCCAGGACAAGTTAGGACCGTGTTTCTCAATGGCAGCAGGACTGGTATCTTAGGGAGGACGTTGTCCCCCATCCAGGGTGGCCCTCTCCACATGGCAGTACTGGCTGGCCCATCACTAGTACTCAACAGGGGAAGGCACCTCCGGACCGGGCATTGCCCTAGGGCAAGGCCATTTAAAGCATCCAGATGAATGCCAACAAGCCATGGGAAACAACACATCAAAATTCCAAAAATGGTAAATAAAGATGGAATCAGTACTACTGATTTATTTTTTCCTTTTGCCTCTGCCTCCAATATGGCCCAGCATGGCAGTTCATGGATCCTGTCTTCATTTAAAATATTGCTAGTTCGGTCATCATGAATGTTGGCATTCATTTTGATTCTTGATGATAGTTCATTAGAATACTATCCCGCTTGATCAGTGAGGTTCAGGTGCCCCGTGAGTTCTGCCCCCAAGTTAAGGGCCTCACTTGCCTCCACCTAGTCCCTGTCACTGTGACAACCCAAAACACCTGCCCACATTTGCAAAGGCCTCCCTGCGTTCGGAGAACCTCTGAAATGGGGGCTGATTTTTCTCATACAACAAGAAATCCAAAGACAGGCAGCCCAGGGCCTCCATGATGCCAAGATGGCTGCAGAATTAGGTCCTAGTTCCAGACAAGAAAACACTGATATGGCGAAGCGCAGGAGAAACATTATCAGCCGAGCCTCTTTTAATTAGGGGGGAAAAAATATTTCCCAGGAACCCTACCCAGTAAACCCTTACCCATATACCACTGGCCAGAAGTGAATCCCCTGACCAGCCCCTAGCCGCAAGGAGCCTGAGCAGCTGAACCCTTTTCGGTTGTGTGGGCACAACTCCAGCCACAATAACACCGGGGTTCCCTCTATAAGAAGAAGGAGGGAGTGAATAAAAGAGAAACAGCTAGAAATGTCTGCCATGGGGGCCATGCAGCATAGTAAAGGCCGGCTCTTCCTGGTGACTGCAAATCACCTTTTCTCTGCTGGTGATCAGATGGTCTGCCTGGGCAGAGCAATGTTATGGTCACTTCTAGAATTCTGGATAAAACCCAGAATGTCATCTTAGGTTGGGCTCCACAGAAGCAAGGCTTGAAACAGGGATTCAGGTGCATGTGATTTATGGAAGGCACACTCTTTTCTTTCTTTTTTAAGATTTTGTATATTTATTTGAGAAAGAGAGAGAGAGAGAGAGAGAGAGAGGGCATGAGCGAGCAGGGAAGGAGCAGAGGGCAGAGGAATGAGAATGCGAGGCAGCTCTGCACTGAGCATGGAGCCCAACATGGGGGTGCACCCCAGCACCGTGAGACTACGACCTGAGCTGAAACCAAGAGTAGGATGCTCAACCGACTAAGCCACCCAGATGCCCCCAAGGGCACCTTCTTAGGAGAAACTTTTAAGTAGTGAGGGGAGCACCCAAGGAAAGGGAAATGAGCCAAGCAAGGATGCAATCGCACGTGAAGTTTTGCCTGGGCCTGATGCGCAGGGGGCCATGAGCCAAAATCCACAATACAGAGTTGTCTAGCCTTGAAGCAGCTCAGCGTTTTCACCCTTGATAAATCAGGCAACCATCTGCCGCCTCCTCTCACGGTGATGGGGCCAGTGCAACCATCCAGGTTTCTCTGGGTAATGCAATGTCCATCGGCCAAGAACACCACTCCGTGAAGGGTTACGGGTATGAGCTGTTTGCCAAAGCACGTGCTGCAGCTGGGGGAGCTGGGTGCCCCACCCCTAACGTGGACCCGGGTGGGCACCAGGGCATCTGGGACAAATAGCAGAGTTTGATACACTTTCCAAAGAACTGCCTTTATTTCTATCTTGCACTGTTTGAGAATATAACCCTGATATACTGCTATGATTAAAAGTCATTAGAGAACTGGCAACGAGTTAAAGATGTCTCATTTTTAAGAAAAATGATTAATAGATGTTGACTTGTTTTGTTGAACCACGAACAGGAAAGCGCTTTATAATTTGCTCTGGGTATTAACCAGGATCCAGGCTGTAGTTCACAATCTCATCAGAGCACGTAAATATTTCATAGTCTTAGTGTCTCATTGAAAGCTCAATGAATATTTAATTGAAGTTGACCAACAAAATAACTGAAAGAATTATGTTGCATTTACTTAGGCCTAAAATGAGCAAGCTCTTCATTTTCTCAAGTAGTTTGAAGCTAAAATCATTCCACCTTCATGAAATATTCTACATAATTTTATAAGTAATTAAAGGGCTGCAAAATAGGTTGGAAAGACACATATTTTTTTTAAAGATTTTATTTATTTATTTGACAGAGAGAGATCACAAGTAGACAGAGAGGCAGGCAGAGAGAGGGAGGGAAGCAGGCTCCCCGCTGAGCAGAGAGCCCGATGTGGGACTCGATCCCAGGACCCTGAGATCATGACCTGAGCTGAAGGCAGTGGATTAAACCACTGAGCCACCCAGGCGCCCCCTGGAAAGACACATATTAAATATTGAGAAAAACAGGAAATAAAATGAATTTTCAACTTTCAGTGCAAGAGAATAGTTTAATATATTGTCACCTCCAACATTACTTATTCAGTAGTGGATGAGTTTAAACTATTGTCAATACCCTCTTTTGACACAAAAAGTAAAAACGGAATCTTTTCTTTGTCCCTTGCAAATTAAATATTCTAGAATGATGATGTGCAAACACCTATAAGATTGATATTAACAGGAAACCATGAACGAGCAGCCATGTAAGCTAGCCCAGAAATTGCTTGTGAACTCCAGGTCCAACATTGGGCCAGGTACTGAAAATAATTAAAAAAAAATTTTTTTTAAAGACAGAGAGAGAGAGAAATAATGGTCCATGTTCAAAGTAGAGATGGTTTCCCTGGAAAGAAGTTTCCCTGCAGTCTGTTAGATCTCCATAAGTGTCAGAAATGGACTTCAAAAAAAAAATATGCGCTCTAATTGATTAACCCTAAAACAGATGACACAGAATATGTCATTTCTATCAAATTTGGAGACATTTTAATTGGAACCAAAGTATTGCCAACTAATCCATGCTAAAGCTGCTAAAAACCACCTGGTAAACTTAGGGTATTAAGGTCTAAATTCTTTATCTAGTCCTGAATTATTTGTGTTAAGATTTATTTTAGGCAAAGAGAGAGAGAGAGCAAGAGAGATCGCACACATGCTCAATACGAATCCCAGGCAGACTCCCTGCTCAGCGCAAAGCTGACACAGGGCTCGATCCCACAACACCAAGATCACAACCTGAGCCGAAACCAAGAGTCGGACACTTACCTGAGCAACCCAGGTGCCCCACAGTCCTGAATTATTTTTTAAAATATTTTATTTATTTATTTGACAGACAGAGATCACAAGTAGGCAGAGAGGCAGGCAGAGAGAGAGAGGAGGAAGCAGGCTCCCTGCTGAGCAGAGAGCCCGATGCGGGGGCTCGATTCCAGGACCCTGAGATCATGACCTGAGCCGAAGGCAGAGGCTTTAACCCACTGAGCCACCCAGGTGCCCCCTGAATTATTTTTTAATTACAGAATTTAAATAATCTAATAACAGTTTCCTTTTTGGAAAACAGAACGTGAGCCACAATACAAGGTTGTCTCATAAACCCAACACATCCATTGTGCTGTCTTATGGGCAATAATTGGTCATCTTGCAGTTTTCTTCCCTTTGATCTTAGTTCCTTTTTAAGATATTCAAATGGATTACCTTTTTCAATTATCAATACATCATGATATGTGTGTGTTATGTACACATATACGTTCAGTTCAGGTTCTTGTCTAACAATGGTGCCTCTTTCATTCACTTCTACAATTCATGCCACATCACCCTTTGGTTCTGAGGGATGGGGAACCATAATTAGTATGCAGAAAAGAGAAGACATCTTTCTGTTGCTATTTAATGGCAAGTTCCAAATCAAACAACATGATTTCATTAATGGCAACTCACGAACCAACAGTGACACTGACCAGACTCTAAGTGTCTACGGGAGGACAGATTATCCTGTCCAGGGAAGGAGAAGGGAGAAAGGTTGATAAGCATTAGGCAAGAAAGATAAACATTCAGTGTCCTGCAACCAGTGGGCCTGGTCAGAAAGAGGAGCCGTGGGGTATTTTTCTTCTGCAATGTGTCTTTACAAAAGAACGAGCCTGAACATTTACATTGAGGGCTCGCATTTTCTCCAATATTTACTATATCATACATGTCACATTTTACAATTGCATTTTTCCCAGTGCCATGGGACTTACCTGCTTATCGAAAGCTACCCAGGATGGTGCATCACTTCCGATTCCTTTAGGAAATGCACTATATTTAGGCTTCAACTTTTGCCCGAAAAGCAGTTCTCCACCAATTCCGGGTTTATCTTCACTCACCAGCATGCTCACATTGTTGCAAAAGCCCCAATGTTGAGATTTGTGGAACTTCTCCTTTCCCACCTGCGAACGCAAGCCACAACATAAAATGGCTGAAGTTAGGCTTTCTGTCTTGCCCTATTTGTTTTTTAAAAGGTAAACACATCCCCCACGGTTTATTTTTCCCATTACAAAATGCACCTTCTAGTGGCAAATAATTATGATCCACCTTCATCCAGAAAGTTGGGTCACATTTTTAAATTCAATTCACTTTAGCAAATTCAAAACTTTGAAAAGCAATCAAGAAGAAACCCGATGCTCCATGCTATTTAAAATGGTTAAAAATAACAATTACTGCAAGTGAACATTTAGAACATTAGCTTGCTAATTGGTCTATTCTACTTATTTGCCAAGAAGGCAAACGGGGGGGGGGGGGGGGGGGGGAGGGCAGAAATCCTCTACTTCAGAGTGAAAATCTAACAGTCTTCCTACGTAAGTCTAAACGTTATTTGCACCAACACAGAAAATAAAATCTTTTCCTCATTAAAATGAATGTAACAGGAAATTTCTCAGAGCTGACATTCTCATCTTCATTTTAAAAACTTGCCTTTCCTTTTCCTCACTCCCCTCCTGTCTTTTCTGGGGATCTGGGCAGAGAGAGAAAAGCCTGGACGACGCTACCGAGGGTTGGCAAAGATGTGGGACGACGTCAGCTCGCGTGCTCTGCTGCAGGGAAGTAAAAGGGAGAGTCCCTCTGAGAAGAAATCCAGCAATACCCAGGAAAGTGAGAAGTGCAGATGCCGTCTGGCCTAGCAAGTCCATTTGCAAATATCCTTTGCCCCTGTGCACAAGGAACTAAATGTAAATAATAAATATATCTATAACAAATGTAAATAAATATTTATTGTGCTATATATCATACATGGTAAACACCCATCCACAGCCCTGAATAAAAAAAATAAAACTCCGATACAGCGAAGCCATCTCTTGCTCCCCTCCCTGCCTTGCCTGCGGGTAACCATTACCCTGAATTTGTCGCTGGAGTTTTAACATTTTTTGTCAGGGCAACCGTTTTTTGCAAAAGCATGACTCAGGGAATTCTGACCAGAGGTCTGAAAAGACCTCATTTCAAGGCAACCTATGAACAGCAGGAAATACTTGCCAATCTTCTATCTGATAAGGGGCTAATATCCAAAATATATAAAGAACTCCTACAACTCAAAAGCACAAACACAAACAATACAATGAGAAAACGAGCAGAGGGTCTGAACAGTTATTTTTCTAAAGACTTTTCACTCAGCATCAGGGAAATGGGAATCAAAAGCCCAGTGAGATATCACCTCACACCTGTGAGAATAGCTCCTGTTAAAAAAGACAAGACGTGGGGTGCCTGGGTGGCTCACTGGGTTAAGCCTCTGCCTTTGGCTCAGGTCATGATCTCGGGGTCCTGGGATCAAGCCCCGCGCGGCAGGCTCTCTGCTCAGCGCGGGGCCTGCCTCCCACTACCCCTCTGCCTGCCTCTCTGTCTACTTGTGATCTCTCTCTCTCTCTCTCTGTCAAATAAATAAATAAAATCTTGGAGCCCTCATGCCCTGTTGGTGGGAGTGGGAATTGGTACAGACATGGGGGAAGACAGTGTGGCGGTCCTGAAAATATTACAAACAGAACTACCTACCACACAATCCAGCAAGTCCTCTGGGTATTTATCCATAAAAATATTACTCAAAAAAATATATACACCTGTGTGTTCACTGCAGCATTATTTACAATAGCTTCTAAAACACGATAAAAACGTAAGTGTCTACCAACGAATCAATGGATAAAGAAAACACAAGATACACACACACACACAATTATTCAGCCATAAAAAAATGAATGAAACCTTGCCATTTGTGACAACATGGATGGACCTTGAAGGCATTAGGCTAAGTGAAATGAGACAGAGAAAGATAAATATCATCTGATCTCTTTTATATGTAGAATCTTAAAATCAAAAACAAAAAACAAACGAACAAACAAACGACAAAACACCACAGGCTCACAGATACTGAGAACAGATTGGCGGTTGTCACAGGTGGGGGTGGGAGGGAGAATGGGTGAGGGGGTCAAAAGGAATAATTATCTAGTTATAAAATAAGTCCTAGGATGTAATGTATAACATGGTTACCATAATTCACATTGTACTGTATTATTTGAAAGTCTCTAAGAGAGTAAATCTTAAAAGTTCTCATCAAGCACTGGGCGTTGTATGTAACTGATGAATTATTGCACACTACACCTGACACTAATGTACTATACGTTGGCTCATTGAATCTAAATTTTAAAAAGTTCTCATCATAAGAAAAATAATTTCTATGTGTGGTGGCAGATGCTAAGTAGACTTAATCATTTTGCAATATATACAAATACAGAAACATTTATATACCCAAAACTAATATAATGTGTCAATTATACCTCAATCAAAATAAAAAATACAATACTCAATGTTAGAAAGAAGAGAAAAAGAAAAGACCCAGTTTCCTCTTGTAAATGAAGGCAGCCTGGAATAATCAGGAAGGGCCTGAGCAGCCCCACGCATGGGAGACAAGGCCACAACAGCTACCCTGGGCAGATGAACAACCCAGCTCAAAGGCTATGACAGGGAGGCCAGAGGTGGTGGTTAAGATGGTGAGCTTCAGCCTGGCTCTGTCCCTTGGAGAAACCATTGTCATGACCGCTACCAAGCTCTGACTCCCCCTCCCCCACAACCCTGCCACTCATACACATTCAGGTTACCACAAGTCAATCCCAAATCACCAAAGCAAAGCAAAAATTGGGTTGGTTAAAATGAATGCTGGAGTAACACAGAATTGTGTAACACTGTTCCCTCTTTTGTTTTTTTTTTTTAAGCTTTTATTTATTTGAGAAAGAGAACAAGAGAGGGAGGGAGAACTTGAGTGGGGGAGGGTCAAAGATAGAAGCAGACTCCCTGCTAAGCAGTGACCCCCCGCCTCCACCCGCCCGGACTCAACCCTCGGGCTCCAGGATGACAACCTGAGTTGAAGGCAGTGCTTAACCAACTGAGCCACCCAGACACCCAACACCGTTCCCTCTTTTTTTTTTTTTTTAAGATTTTATTTATTTACTTGTCAGAGACAGAGGGAGAGTGAGTGAGCAAGCACAGGCAGACAGAGAGGCAGGCAGAGGCAGAGGGAGAAGCAGGCTCCCTGCCGAGCAAGGAGCCCGATGTGGGACTCGATCCCAGGACGCTGGGATCATGACCTGAGCCTGAGCCGAAGGCAGCTGCTTAACCAACTGAGCCACCCAGGTGTCCCCCGTTCCCTCTTTTAAAGCAAGTAATCTCAGAAGCTCCAAGGAGTTCCTGTGGCTGCTCCCTGCACATACCCACCGCCCCTTCAGCTCTTATGCCATTCTGCCTCGCATTGTGTATTACAACTGTTTGTGCATTCAGTCTTTGAAAAAATAAATAAATAAATAAAATAAAGCAAGTCCTTTCAGGCAATCACAAACTCACCTCAGGTCAAACCAACACACATTTCTTAAGCATCTACTGTATTCCAAGCTGTATGCCAGATTTACTAGTTAAAATAAGCATAAGACGCAGCCTCCACCCTGAAGAAGAAACCCACAGTCTTGCTGATGAGATACTATTCAGATCTAAGAAACAACTAGAAAACTAGAAAACAGTACAGGTACCATTTCTGACCACTCACTGTGAGCTAGACTCCAAAGGGCTTTCTGTACATTATCTCATTTCACCATCACCAAACTATCTGATAGGTTTTAGCATAGCCATTTTTACCAATGAGGAAACCAAAGTAGAGGGAAGTAGACTGGCACACCCACAGGGACGCTGGAACTAGTGAAGCCTGCCTCCGAACTTAGTTCATGTGAGCTTAAGCTCTGGTCAGCCAGGCTGGAGGAGCAGTGGTGAGGTCCCATGGGTAAATGAATTCTGTCCTGGGCAGGGAGGAACGGGATGAATCGGACAGCAGAGGACAGGTAAGGATGTTCGGGACAAGGTTACGCGTAATGCACAGCAGCTGAGCAGACAGCACCCAGCAGGAGGGGCAAGAGAGTAGTGAGTCTAATAAAAAAGGACAAGTTCAAGTTTGGAAAGAGGGTAAGACAGTAGAATACATAAGGAGGTCTATACTATGGAAAGCCTCACATTTAACTACTGTATACATCTAAAATAAAAATACAATAATCAAGAATCTCACCCCTGGATATATATCTCAGAGAAATTCTCACAGTAGTCAATAAGCAGTTAAATATGAGAATGTGTCATGGTATTTTGGGGAAGTGGAAGGTAATCTAGAGATCTGTGTTGATGAAATCAACAAGAAAATATGGTTTAATGGTGGATGTTAATTTCACCTCACTGCTTGAAGCAATAAACCAAGCACTAAACCAGATGCATTAGCTCAGGTTGCCACAACAAAATACCATATACTGGGTGGTTGAAACAACAGAAACTGGCTTCTCACTGTGTCCTCACAGGGTACTGAAACAGATAGCAAGCTCTCTGGTGTCTCTTCTTAAAAGGGCACTCATCTCTTCATGGGGACCCCACCCTCATGACCTCCTCTACACCTCATTACCTCCCAAGGCCCCATCTCCAAATACCTTCACACTGGGGGTTGAGGCTTCAACACAGGAATCTGGGGAGGGCACATTTCAGTCCATAGCACCAAATGTACATACAGCAACACAGATCCTTCAAACATTGTTGGTTGAAAAAAAAATGATTATCCATAATACATAATTACATTTCTATTTCTAAAAATACACACACACACACACACACACACACACACACACACACACACACACATAGTGTTACATATTTTGCAAGGACACATACAGGTTCCAGAATGTGCATCAGAGATATTTATATGGAAGCCTATATAAAGCAGTGAAAGAATGAGATTAAGGATAAGGACCAATATGGAATAAAAATACCTAAAACCAGAGATGGACCTTGCACAGGTCAATGACATAATGCCAGAAATAGACGAATATAATGAATTCACCTCTTTGTGCCAGACATTAAAAACCAACAAACAGGGATGCCTGGGTGG